TCCTCCCGCTGGTTCCCGCCCACGGAGCAATGCGGACCAGAGTCTCAGAAGCCAGGGCTCAGAGCGCGCTGGGGCAGAAGAGGCCGCCCAGATCCGAGCCTCCGCCTGGCCTAGGCCATCAGGGCGGAGCAGGTCTCACCTTCCAGCTCCCTCCTCTGCCTCCGCCGCGGCTCTGGCCCCGGTGTGCTCCGGATCCGGACTTTTCATTCATCCTTTCACACTCCCTCCCCAGGCCATCCTCTGATTGGGTGTATTGAGTTTGACGTCACCGCCTCTTTCCCCCGCCTTTCTCTCTGCCCAGGCCGAGCCCCAGAGCTCAATTGGGGCTCCCCTCCCCCCGCCCAGAAAGGGGGGGGGCGGGGAATACTCTTTCTATGCATTGATTCTCAGCTCTTGCTGCCTCGCCCACCCCGAGACCCGCCTTCCATCTCTAATTCACTGCAGTTTGTGGTTTTGATCTCCAACCTCGTTCTTTTTGTAGGTCTTACGTTTTGCATTTCGGCCCTAGGTATGTTGCACCAGGACAGGGCTCAATGATGAAAAAGAAATTGGGTGAAATCCCCTCAAAAGGAACCTGATGATGCCAGACGACTCCTAATTGCCTCCTTCCAGCAGAATATTCTTTGTGCTTCTCGGGTTCTGATCCTTACCAGACTGTGACCCTAATCTTTTAGGATGGACAGGGACCTCTTTTCCTGGTTTTCAACTCAATAGTGGAGGAAAGATTTTGGAAGTTTAGGACTCCTGCAGAGAGACGAGGAATATGCGTGGGGCTGAGCTTCCTTTTCCACCTCGCAGGAATGGGAAGGTTTCTTAAGCCTGTTCGCACCACCAAAGTTCCAGGTAGGGGGGCTGGGAGTGAGGATCCCAGCTGGCATCATTCTGGGCAAGATCCATAGAATATGACCCCGTCATGAAGCCCTTGCTAGCGCCTTCCCTCCCTTCCACGACCTGTGCGCCTCCAACCTGGAGTCCACAGTCCGCTCAGCTCCTGGAGAGCCTGGGTCATGGTGAGGAGAATCACAGGACACCAAGGCTCCCCACCTGGCCTGGCCCAGGGCAGACATTAGGGTTCAGCCTCTCTGCAAGATGAATCAGAGCCTAATAATGTCTAAGCTTAACTCAGGTGGTAGATATAGGTGCACAGGCCGGCAGGCAGGATCCTAATTCTTGCTGCCAGCAGAGTTCTGGACCCAGCTTGGGGCCCCCTATCTGAGTCTCTGTGCCTGCCAGGAAGCACTTCCAATTCCCAATCCGGAGCCAGTTACCCTTCCACTCACCCCACTCCCAGTGCCTTTGCTGAAAAACTCTAGAACTCAGTTTGGGCAAGTCCCATAGAATATGACCCAGTCATATTCCTGGAGCCTGTTGGTTGGATTAACACTGGCTAACTCCTATAACCAGGAATCCTTGAACGTTCTGCCGCAGTGGTGTACCCTAGGATACCACCCCTTTGGCCATCAGGTCCCTAGGACAGATTGTTTTATCTGCCCCTCTGCACAGTCCAGGACAAAGCCAAGCCTGAATGACATTTGTCTTGGTTAGGTGCACGCTGATGGCCAACGGATTTAATTTGGTGCTCTTCCCAAAGACTGAGGAGTGTCTGAATAATCACTGCCATTGATGTTGGCAGCATGGCTGTGGGTAGAGAACTTGTGCTTCCTCACCAGAATAGTAGTATGAAGATGAAGCAAATAACCTGATTTCCTCAGGTCTCAGGGCATTTTCAGGGTTTGGCTTGATGTGGCTTTTCCCTCCTATTAGACTCCACAGGATCCCAAGGCTCTTACCCAAGGGAAAGGCTTTCTAGAAGCTTCCACCACATCAATTTTTACCCTCCCAGAACTGGGAGCACACTAGCTAATGGTGTGGAGGAAAGGGAAGAGGCAGAGCCAAAGTGTCCATTCCCTACGTTGTTTCCTCCTGCTCCTCCCCAGATGCCCAGATACAGCCCTGGGAAGCAAAGTGTTGAGTCCCTGCTACTCTAGTACAGTTGGAAAAAAAACAGAACCCTCCTCAAATATTCTCACAGACAGATCCACCTACTGGCCTGATGCTAAATACATTCCCTAAATGTATCACTGATAGGGCCCAGGAAGAACTATAGGCCCCAGTCTTTCCTCTCTACACTTACAACTCCCTTCAGAGACTTCTCAGCACACAGCCTCACTCCCTTCCTAAGATCATAAGATGCCCAATGTCCTCCCCACATTCCAGCAATTCTAAATAGGGCCTACACTTCCCCAGACACCAGCTTTCCCTCAAATGTTACTCCATTTGCCTTCCTATGGGATCCTTTAAAAGCACCTTAAACAAACTTTTCCCCTTTCCTCCCCTTACCATGGGTGGTTGGTTGGCTGGGGCCAGTGGGGATGAACTGTCCTACTGGCTAAAACTCTCCCCTTTCTTCTCTGTCACAATTTCCAACCAAGTCCCCTGCCCTCTGTGGGGCCCCTTATCTCCACAACCCCTTACCCTGGCCTGGGCAGTCCACAGTCTGACAAGAGGTAGTTGGTATCAGCACAAGCCTCCCAGCTCTTTCATCCACTGCTGTATTTTTGTTGGGGAGGGAGAGGACAGTATGGTTTCTTTGCCTAGGGGAGACTCTCCCACCCCACCTTTATGGCCAAATTCAAACTTAGCTGAACTTTCTCAAAAACCAAGATCAAGAGAAAATTGAGTACATTTAGATGACTTCTGAAAATATATCTAAGTTTTCCCAAATATCTTGATAAAGGGCAAGATCACTGTTAGTCTCTTACTGTAGCTTTGGGTTCTATTCAGGTAGTTCAGCCTAAATAGTGTCCAAATTTAAGAAGGACAGACACCTCACAAAGGAAAGTGGGGACTAGTTGAATGGTTCTGGCACTATCCCCATGGAGTCCCCACCTCTGTTCAGGTTCCTGACCAAAGAATTTTTTGTTTGGCTTTGTCTGGGTGTGCTTGGCAGCTGATCCCCCACTGCTCTTGCTCAGGCATGAAAGTACAAGGACATCATCTTTAGTCCAATGGAGACAGAGCTATAAGCCAGGAAAGTACAGAAAACTCCCCCAACCACATAACCTGGGATTGGTTTACATATCAAGCCATGTTGTTCCAGTTTCAAAAAAGAAACCGCTTGGAGGGTAGCAAATGAGACAGTCTTTTAGGGGCAGGGACAATTTCAAACATGTTTTTATCCATGGTAGCTAACACTGTACCTAAAACATAAATTACTAAGTTTATAAATTTAGTAATTCATAAATTAATAAAGGCATGTATGTACCTTTGCCCGTGTCTGCAAGTCTGTGTTGGCAGTTATGTGGATTATGGGAGGGGGGATCTTGAAAAATTGTGTTTTGTGGGATCTATGTGTAGGTGTGTATGGAGTGCATCTATTGTGTTGTGTGTTTATGGCTATTCCACAGTCTCTTTGACCAGAAGAGACCCTTCTGCTAACTAGATAAAGCAGGCCCAGAGGTGGCAGACAGCTGCAGCAATATGGGTACAGTAGAAGGCCCTTTGAGCTCGGTCCATCAGCCTGTCTTCCTAGGAGCACCTCAGATGAAGCAGAGTCCTCTGCTACCAGCACACAGCACAGCCAGCTCAAGCTCTGTAGTTCAGTGGTCCGCAGACCCCACCCTGAGTCCTTCCAGGGAATTTCTAGGGGACTCTGAGGGGAGCATACCAAATCCCAGGTGCTGATCAGATTTTGGAATTGCCTCTCTTAGCCTAGGAGCCTGCATTCGTTGCTAGAGCCTGTCCCCACCCCCATGGATAATGCCCTGATGCCCACCCATTGTCTATGCCTGAAGAGGCCCATGTAGAGAAAAACATGGCCTGAATGTTGCTCTTTGGATGCAGCTCTTGGATAGATCTTTATAATTCAGGTTACAAAATACATTTTGGCAGTAAACCCTCTCTTAAAATATTCAGGTAATGAAATAAAAAGCATATTTTTTCTTTGTTTCAATTATCAGGTAAATTTGCCTTGAAGGTGTAGAGGAAAGCTGCATTTGGGGGAGGATAAGTTCATATATTTATTTTTGTCTTATATGTGCATCATTATTATGAACATTATTGTATATTATTCTTCTGCTGTCAAATATTTGTATTGTCTACAGGGTAGTAACAAATTAAAAGCAAGAATTGGCCATAAAAAATGCTGAGGCTGTATGAAAAAATATATATGTATATACATTCAGATGGGCAGAAAATGTCAGAGAGTATGTCGTATAATCTGGAGGATTTTGTCCCTGGGAATACCACCCTTCCTGACAGGAGTGGTTTTTTCTCTCATAGAGGGGCAAGTCTGCTTCCCCTGTCTGCTCCCGTACACTCCCCTGGAAGCCCCAGGGTGTCCGGGAGGTAAGAACAAGGTGGCAAAGATGGTAGAAGGTAAACTGGTTCATCCAGATGTCGCCCTTTCTACAATACCCTCAGCCTTCAACAAATGGCCTCCTATGGTGTGTGCACACACATGCACACATTCAAAACTATCAACTCCGAAGGATGCAATGACAAATCCATAGATACTCCCAGGAGTACCATCTCCCAATGCTTATGAGTAAGTGGCCTGGTATGCACACCTCCTTCCTAGATTCCCCTTCACCATAACCCACACTCCTTTCTGTCCTCACCTTTGTCACCCATCTATTCCCTTTCCCGAAGAACCACCTCCCCCACCTCCAGGTCAACTGTCCCCTATCTCCACCCTCAGGAGCCTACGGGAGAAGGGGGAAAGAGGTCCCTGTATCCCCAATGCCTTTCTTCTCTGTTACAGTACTGGAAGCAGGGTAGCCTTTCCTTCCCAAGGTACCTTGTTCCATTCCCATTATCATCGACTGTACAGGTCTAAGTATAATCAGAGTAAACCAAAATAAGGGGCTGAAAGCTAAAAGAGACAGAGAGTAGGGAAGAGAGGTGTACAGAACAGGAGAAAACACAGGTGATGGAGGGCTGACAGTTTTTTTCCTCCCCCACCCCTACCACTATCAAAAAGAAATAAGAATAATAAATACCCCAAAAGCCAAAGGAAGCCACCTACGATGACACCAGAACAAATGAGGCTGTTTCTTCTTGGATGCCCAGCTCCTGCCAAGGAGGAGAATGCAAATGTTAAAGTCCTTAAAGAGGCTCAATACGCTTTCCCTCATGACTCCAGTGTCCCCATCACCCCTCACCAGCTCCTTTTCTCCTAGTCCTGTGTCTCCAGGACCTAGACAGCCTTGGTTCCCCTCTTCAATCTGCAGGCTTGATGTGGCCTGGAAAGAAAAGCCTAGACACGAAGGACAGGCAGGACCCCTGCCTGCAGCCTCTCCAGCTCCATCTAGCCCGGACAGCCTCAGCCCAGCCTTGTCCTCACAGCCTCCTTCCACTCCATCCCAAATCCTGGGACAAGAGATCTGAGCTGAGCCTGTGGAGAGTTCAGATTTAGCCTAAGGAAGTAATCCCCAGCCCGATGGACCTTTCTCCTCGAAGATTCCCACTGCTCAAGGTCTGCCAGAGAGTACACTTAGGGTGTGATGAAGGCTCAAGGTTAAGGATGCACTTTTGTCTGTGCCCTATGAAGTGCTGTGCACATTGGGGGTCTTCTAAATTGTGTAGTCTCTCCAGCTGTCTCCACTCATCTCTTCTTGTCACCTACCCTTGTGTCTCTCTAGGGATCCGTAAAGACAGGTCCCACAGCTATCATTTCTTCCCCCTCTTTTTCACATACACAAAAGGCATGACGATAAAGCAGTTATTTTTTTTATTATTATTATCTTAATGTTGGGTATGGAACCAGGCTGTACTTTATATTTACCTTCTCACCGGTTTGGCATCATGTTAAATTATGGTGTGGGGGAAGGACATGCACACCACAGGTGAGCTGGCTCTTAAAATGCTAGGAGTGTATTTATGCATGTGTGTGGGGGGGACAAGTTGGTGAATTCTTCTACCTCAAACTCAATTCTACAACTAATTTTTTTTAAGTCAGAAAGGTAATCTGCCTAAGTGCAGAGGAAATCAGAAAAAGGAAGAGGACTGGAGAGCCCGATGAGCCTTAAATCTAAGCCTGATTTCTAGGAGTCGGGTACTTTTGACTCCCCTCCTTACCTCTAATGCCCATGAATACTCACTTGACTCTCAGCCAGGCTCCACCAGCCCACGCATTTCATAAAGGGATGTCTCAGTCTGAAATTATCTTCATACCAAAGAAGCCCCTCAAAAAACAACTTGCTGACACGCCAGAAAATAGTCACAAGGACAGTTAGGGGCCTTGGGCTCCTTCCTCCACCCTAATCAATGAGAATTGAGGGATCCCTGGGGCAGTTGTACACCTCCTCACTGATCTCTGCCCTGTCATCCCCCCACCAGGGGAATATGGAGATAAGGAACACAGCCCAGCAGGCACAGAACATGTGTGTGCATGTATGATGGCTGGCAGTCTCAGCCTCTCCCAGCAGTGCAGCTCTGGGGTACCAGGAATAGTCTGCTCTGGCCTCTACTACTCACAGGGTCCCTGCCTTCTCCCAGAAGGCACAGTTTGAGTGGATGACTAGAGGAAGGAATGGGGTCTTTTTCCATTGAGCCCTGGCCCTCCTTAAAAAAAAAAAATCCCCACATTAGATGGGTCTGAAGAAGACTGGAATAGGGTTCTCTACCCTTCTAGAATGTAAGCATCCATCACAACACCTCATTTGCCTTTAAGCCCCCTCAGTCCCTTTCCCACCTGCCAACTCACAGGAAAAAGGGAGGAAGAAGGGGAGTTAAATTCATCTAAATTCTATAAAATATTTTTGAGTTTTTCCTAATTCTGGTTTCCACCTTTCTGGAAATGTAGCTCCTTTTCTCTCGCCCCACCCCCAAGTCCCTCAGATTTTGTCCTCCTGGAAAACCTGAAGCATCTGAGGCAGATAGGAGTAAGAGCCACAGTGGGGAAAGAAGGTCAGGAGTTCAAATACAGAACCATTTTTCTCTTTCCTCCTATCTCCACTACAATTTTCCTTCCTGCCTCTCCTCAGGCACAAGCATTAAGATGTTGGCCATGTCTAGCAGAGAGAAGGGAGGGGCAGATTAATAGGATCAGTAGCACCGTGACCCTAAAGCCCCCCCAATCCCATTGACAAACTTAGTGAGCTGTCTCCAGCCAGCATGGGCTAGGGGAAGGAGGGGGACCAGGAGAGAGGCACTCGCAGCTGGGCAGAGCCACTGCCTCCAGCTCAGCGTCCATGCCCAGGAAGCCGAGGTGAAACCCTATGCTACCAGCTCCTCCTCCACACACACACACACACACACACACCCCTACACACACACACACACTCTCTCTCTCTCTCTCTCTCTCTCTCTCTCTCTCTCTCACACACACACACACACACACATGCTTCATCCATTTTGGGGACCCCCTAAATCTTTTATCAGCCCTTCCTTTCTATAATCGTTGCACCAGCCTCCATTAGTCAGTAGGCAAAGTGGGAAGGTTAGGGTGCTCTGACTGATTTTAGGGGATCCCTTCACATCCCTAGCCCAGGTGTCTGATGGGGATAAGACCTTCCCTGGTACCAGTGGCCACTTACCAGGCTTCAGTGAGGAGGGACCGTCCAGGTGGCCCCGCGGCTGGGCTTCCTCTCCCCAGCTCCTCGCCTCCTGTGGAGTGGAGGCTGCAGCTCCGATGACGTAGCATCTGCCTATCCATTCAGGAATTTCGCTTGCCTCTCTCTTTCTTTCTCTTGCTGCTCTCTCTGGAAAGGCAGCAAAAAGGGGGTGCTGCCCCTATCTGGAGACACCACCACTGAGAGAACAGCCGCTCTGATGCAGCCCACCCTCCTCCCTCCCAGCCTCTTGGGAAGGGGTCTTTGTCATCCCCACTCTGGTTCCCATCTCCCCTACTGCCTTTTCTAACCTGAGGTATGAAGAAGGGGCTGGGGAAGCTATTGTTCCTCCAGACCACCCTCCAGAGAAAGGGTGTGACAGAAATACCCCTGTCCCACAGTCTCCTTCAGTTTTCATTCACTTTTGAACTTGAGAGAGTGATTAAATGGCATGTGTGTCTAGGGTGAGGAGTGGAGGGATAAGGAGTCACAACCAAGGACATAACTGCCATTTGAAGGCTAGGGGTGTCCCAGTCCCCCTTCCTGAACCTCCCTCAACTCCCCACCCAGTCAGCTTAACTAATCACACTTACAGATCTTAGTTGTGAAGGAGAAAGTGACAATCAGAGGATGAAGACTAAGAGCTGGAGGGGGGACAGACGGGGAGACAGAGGCCAGCACTTGGAAGTCTAGACAAGAGGAGAGGAGGGTGGGACCAGAGAGTCAAAGTGGGAGATAAATTATCTTTTCCTTAGGGGTGGGAGGGCAATTGTAGGGGGTGGTTTCCAGGGCTGGGGTCCCGATATTTGATGGAAGCTGGGGCCCAGAACAGCACAATGGTCGAATCTCTTTTCTCTCCCTCACCCCCACCCTCAGCCCCTCCCTTTCCCCCCTCCCAGTCTTCCTGGCCTGCATGGGAACTCGGTCTGAGCTCAACGTGACAGACAGCAGGCCTGCATGCTAATGAAGTTTGTCTCAAGTTCATTGTCAAAGCCCCCCCTTTCCCGAGGCCTCCTCCCCTCTTCTCTCATACACAAATCTCCCTCCAACTTTTGTCCCACAGACCTGGAGCCACTTGAGTCTCTGCCGGCCCCTCTCTCCTCTCCCCCACTGCTTTCAATCTCCCTTCTCCTCACCACCTCCCTAACTGGGTGGGGGGGCTCTGTCTCCCTAGTTGCCTTCCCAGCCACCTTCTGGCCTCTGGAGCCCTAAGCTTTCAATGAGGGATTCTGAGGGCTAAGGTCAGAGCCTACAGACCTGGTCTTTCTTTCCCCATCTCCAAGTAGGGAGACTTTAGAGAGGTGAGAACCGGCAACATACACCCCTACTCCATGTTTTCTGCCCCCTCAGTTCTCATCCTGGCCTGGCCTAGTCCCCCCCATTCCAGCCCTAGCTTCCCCTCCCCCCATTCTTCCCATTATGATTATTTTGCTCTCCCCTTGATTACATCTGCTTCACTAGCTCAGAAATAAAGATCCTTTGAGACTAATTTTGCACCCCCCCAACTCCCCACCCCTTCCCTCCCCCCTCCCTCTAGATCAGGGCTCCCGTTAGCTCCTTTCTCACCGGCTGGAAGACATTGAGTTCCTTGTCTAGGGAGCTGGGGGGTTGATGGGAGGGGGTGTCAGTGGAATGGGGGGGTCTCTCCAACTCTGGGACGTGTCCAGCAATCCAAACCTGTCCTTCTTTTGTTCCTACAAATCTCTTCATACTGTCACCACCCTCTGGAGTCTGCCTTTCTCCCAGTAACCAAGGGATGGGGAGGAAGGGGAGGAGGACCCTGAGTTCACCCCACCCCTTAATTCCAGGGAAAGGAGGGAGGGGAGAAGAGGGAGAAAAAAATTTAAATCCCCCCCTCATTAGCCAGAAAGGAAGCAAAAGGGGATAATTATAATTAAAAGCAGACAGCTGTGGATTGCCTTTTATGTTTCTCCAAGCTTCCTCCCCACTTCTGTCACTATCACCCAAAAATCTGCACACACCCCTGCGCACTTCCCCCTGGTTTCCTACAAGAATGGGGAGCATGTTAGGAGACTAAGGTAGGAGGTGCAGATTTGGGGACAGGAACTCCACTGGCTCTCCAGGTAGAAAGCATCTTCCTAAACATCTCAATAGGCCCCAAAGTGAGGGGCTCCCCTTCCTATCCCCAACCTGCACCCCAAACTGTGGGTCTGTAGGAGGTAGGGGCATTTAGGTAATAGTAATTCTTTTGATTTTCCTAAAAACACCAATAACATTCATAATGAAACTAATTCTAAGAATTAAATATAACCTAGAATAGATTCTCATTTAGGCATCTCTTTCCTCCTTCCTTGGAGTTGCCTCAAAACACAGGAGGGGGAGCTGAACACCAGAAGGGCTGGTGTGCGCTAACAAAGATGGCTCATAGGTCTAGATTACACATGAAACTGCACACATATACACAGCACATATACATATGTACACTTTGTGATTTGGGGGTGGCGTTGCTAGGTCTAGCTTTGCTATCCTATGTATTTATAGAACTTGATCATAGGCCAGAACAGCAGGGTAATTATAGCATTATTAGCATATATGCAAATCAGGTAACCTATATACGCTGAATGGAGGCAAATTATTATTTATTTCTCTCCCCCCTTTTCCTTCCCTGGTATCAGCTCTGGCTCCTCGGAGCTGCACACCAGCAATTATCTGACATTATAAGAGGGGGTTGTAGCCCTGGAGGAGGGGTCTGAGGGGAGTAGGACAGGAAAAAAACCTAGGGGCGGGAGGGTTTTATCTCATTTTACTCAATGTTATTCTGGGAAGAGTAGGGAGGAGCTCAGTGAGAAGCCTTTGAATTAACAAAGGCTAATTCAAGATGGGGGGGGGCAGTCGAAGAGAGACAGAGACCTGAAAACAGAGACAGATAAGCCAGAAAAGCTTCCAAGCAATGACAGAGATGGAAAGAGACAGAGTCACAGCTCACAGAGAGTGGGGGAGCCAGAAACACTGTCCCAAGCTCACATAGAATAGGGCACAAATAGTCCAGATCTGGCAAGAAAATATGGATCCGTTTATCTGGAGGTAGGAGGGCTGCCCTCTCCAGGTTCTCTAAGACCTGGGGCCAGTATGGGGGGCCAGTTCTCATCCTGGCCTCACTCAACTCATGGGCCACTCAGCCCATGTCGACTTAGATGGAGGCTGAGTCTTGCTCCAGAGTCCATCTTACATTATCAAATCTCTTCCCTCTTTCCATTGCCTAAGAAATGGTCGTGGGACCCCGAGCAGTGGTTTTTGGTGTGTTCATTCATTCCAACCTGTACATGATGTGCAAGGTCCAACTCCAGGCTCCCCTTCTTCCCACCAAGGTGGAGCCTGAGCTGCTTTGCTCCCCTCCCCTTGGGGGTCTGTGCTACTGTAGGTAGGTTCAGGCTCAGGCTTTCCAGCCAGATCTCCATGGAGTATTAAGGAGTCACAACACTGTCACCCTTTCCATAATCCATCCCTCTCTTCCTCAGACTTTACATCAGAGCCCTGGTTGGCAAGTTAGGATCTGTACCGTTTTTGTTGATTTCCTTCCACATTGTCCCGGGACTTGACCTACTGACTTGGATTTTTCTTCCTCTGCCTGGCTGGATGGGATTCCACTGGCCCATGGTGACCATGGGACAGTGGCAGGGATTCCAGAGCTTCACTGTGTCCTTTCCTCCACTCCACTTAGAAGAGGCCTTCACCTCTCCAACTCTGGGACAGTGGAATCCACTCTAACTTCCAAGTGGATTAAAGAAGTATTTCTAAAGTATTTTTATGTAATAGCAATACAAACAGTATCTCTGTCAAGTTTCAAGTGTCCCTGTCCAGGTCCCTGTTTGCAAAGTGGCTATCTACCTCTGTCTCAAAAAAAGCCTTTGCCAACCTGAGGTAAATTCTAAAGAAGGCAGCAGTAGGGAGAGGCAGGATTGTTGAAATGTGGCAGTCTGAGGGTCTTCAGTGATATAATGAAGAAGGGTTCCTGAGAGAAACAGATGCAGAAGACAGACACCCAAAGACACAGCAGCCAAAAGACTAAAAGGAAACAAAACTCCAAGGTTGTACTTTGATTTTTATGCAAAAACATAAATTTGCTGCCATGTATATAAGGCGGGTGGGCTTTATCATTGATGCTGATCTCTGCATCTGTGATATGCATTTGTTTATATTTGCTCTTAGATCTGGCTGTTTCCAGTTCTTTGTGGCCAGGGAGTACAGAATAGTCAAAGAGCTGAAGAGGCAGTAAGAGAAGCCAAAAGGGGTAGAGACTGGTTGCTGAAACCTAGAGGGGTAAAAGAGGAAAGTGATGAGAGGCACTAGGAGCTGGGTGGAGGGTAGGGTGGATGAAGAGACTGACAGGCCAGCCCCAGGGGATCAAGCTTTCCACCTCTATCCCACTTAAGAGACCTGGGATATTTCCCTCCCTCTCCCCTGTTTCTCCCCCAGGCTCAGCCCAAAAATTGGCAAGTAGATTTGCAACTTCACCAGGCACATTGCTTTGCACCCATAATAGTATAATAATCTAGAGTCATTCAGACAATGACAGACCCCTCCCAGACTGTTCCATAGAGACTCACCTCCACACAGCCTGGCATTCTAGGACGGGGACTCCCCAGTCTTTCTATTTTGCTCTAAGTACTTTCCTACTTCTGTGACTCTCCTGTACAACAATTAAGCTCCAAACCCGTGTAGCTCAGTGTGTGCACAGAAATATCTCTTAACTCTATCTTCTGTCTTATGAAATTCATTTCCCTGGCATTCCATTTGGACGTCTGTACCCACACATTGCCAGCCTCTTCCTGGGCTCGGCTGTCAGGACCTCTCTGTGCGTCCCCCAGCAGGTTTGTTTCTATCCAGCACCGTCTGTGCAGTTCTGACTCAGCCTACAGGCAGGTCTGGTCACCACTTCCACTGCCACTATGGCCAAGAACACCTTCCAGATCTCCTGGGGACCCAGGGTTCCCCTGTGAAGCAACCCAAATCCCCCTTTGGGGTAGCTTGATTATATATCAGATACATATGGTTCTTGGATAATAAGTCTCGGCACAGAGCTCCCTTGGCACCAGACAATCCCCTCTGCCCTGGAAAAGAGACAAGAGCC